CTCCCGCCGAGCGCTAGCCGAACGCTCGCCAACCATGGTTGGGAGTGGGTTGGTTGGTGTTCGACTGGCGTTTGGCTACGGTTCGGCTGCGACCACCGAATATTTCAAAATGTTTCAAACATTCAGGTTCGATCATGTAGTTGGCTGATTTTCGACCGCAAGTCAGCAAAAAACCTGCTAACCATCCTGGAGAAAGTCAGCAGTGTTCGGGGCGTGTTAAAATGATCAAATTTAGCTCCAATTCATCTCAAATTCGTTTTGATTCCTGCACAAAAGGTAGGCGTGGCCTAAATCTGTTCAGGATGCTCCCGAAGACCAGCCGAACAGGTCGAATTCGTGGGAAGTTCGTGAATGTGTGACAGGGGCTTTAGATGAGTCTCCAAACTAATGAGATACTTGGACGAATCAAGAATTAGAATTTAAAGAGAAGATTATCGCAAATTCATGCCCGGGGGCTAATTAAAAATTTCAAACCTAAAAGAACATGAAACAGAGTAGTCTGGAACTAGAACTATGTGTAAAACTATGTCTGAAAGGTTTGACCTCTCTTCTGTAAACCATGGAAGACGTAATGTCCCACCTTTTCCAAAATTTGTGGGTTTTGGGAAGTTAAAAGAAGAATAGTATTATCTTGTAAGTTTAGAGAAATTGGGATAACTTGTAGAGGTAAATTTAAAGACTATTTCTATATTTTCTTGCTAAAGGTGTCCCGGCAGACATGATAGAGCAGGTAAAGAATGAAAAGTACGTTGTGGAGGTGACTGTGTCAGGAGACTCCGTCACCTACAAGATGACTGAGTTTGGTGAGACGTCGGTCAACACGTTTACCCTGGGAGTGGAGGGAGACGAGAAGGACTCAATGGGCACCCGCAAGGTTGGCAGATACTTCTTTAAGTTGAATGTAGTCATTCAATTTATAATTAATTCTAACTATTATTAATATTAACATTAGAGGAATATTGGCAGTTACTACGCGTATACGGCATGCAAGTAGTAGCCTGTGTTGCAGCCGATGATCATCAGAAGATTATATTTCTTACACGTTCCCACGTTTAACATCTACAGGTGACCCACACCTTGGAAGGGGACCTCCTCGTGTCCAACTACCCTAACTTTGACGGGAAGGGCATGAAAATGCGGACTGTTCGCCGCTGGATCGACGACAACACCATCCATGCTGTAAGTTAACTTTATTATATTAACACAGTACCCTAATGCAAAATCTTTAACAACATTTGTACAAGTGCATATCGTATTCCCTTTATTGCATCCTGTTATCTCTTAGTCTCAAAGTCTAGTACTATACTTAAAAGTTAGCCCGCTACCAGGCTTCAGAGGTAGATGGAATTAAAGTCATTGACCTGGACCAGACGTCTGTCACCATGGTAACTGGTGCTGTACCAACACCCTGTGGTGCAGGGTTACATTATTAGCAGTACAGAGTTGGAGAGCCTACTCACCATATGTACATACTCGTATTTGGCTTTGAGTAAGAATAAACAGTGCTGTTGTTTGTTGGGCTAGACAAGGTGAAGGTAAACATTATGCATTTGCTTATGTTTTTGTTTTTGTTGTTGTTTTTTCTTCACAGGAGTTTACGATTGGCGACAACTTGTCAGGATGGGTGGACAACGTCCGAGTGTAGCCACTCGTCGGCAAGTCGACTTTGTACGCAAAGAATGCCTCATGGCTTGTAGAATAGAACCGCGGAAAAATATGTGCCACTTCATAGCAGAGTAGAAGCATACTGAGACAATTGTTACAGTGCACGTGGCTGTCGTTTCTGCAGTTTTGTCTTACTATATACACATTGCAGTACAACCTTTGCAAAAATGCCTTTTCTTGGTCTAGACTATATAAGACCTTCACCTATATACCATTGTTGACATGGAGCTCCGTTTACTACTAGGAGACGACCGGGCAACGCTTTTCTTAGTACAGAACTGTAATAACTCATAGCTATGTTCACAATGAATCTCAGTTATTGCAATCGGAGCTGCGTATGTTTTAAAACACTGCGACAAAGGGTGAGTTTTATGCACCAAATGTGTCCATTCTTTTGCATCAGCTACTAATAAAATGTTTAAAATGGTGTGATGTGTAGTGTTCTTTATGACTGTGGGTTGAAGCGATCTAGCCGTCTGAGTGACATGTTTGAGTAGTTAGGTACAACAATACATCCTGTCCAACCGCTCTGATTTATACACCCCGTATTAGCCCCTGTAACCGGACGACGTGAACATTAGCCTGACGCTGAGAACACAAAACGCTGCTAGGCAGCAGACCGAAGAGCAAATGGTTCCTAACTCTTTGTTCCCGTGGCTACAAATATCAAGCAGCCTCTACGTCTTGTTACTATGGCCATGTTGATTTGATTATATGGATGACATCAGCGCGCGCATGAATTTTCGGCCATTTCCCAAAAAAAAGAAGTTTTCAACCATACTGTAAATCGTGCAAAACAGTTGCTAAATGAGCAAAAATATACCATAAGTTGCAAGGAAAACATTTAGAAACGATACCAATGTCGTAGAATGCCAAAATCAAATTTAATAAAGGAAAAAGGACAAAAATGTAAAGAAATGAATTCGAAGAGTAGATTATTCGCCATAACATATTCTGTGCCATTTGTTCCACCTTCTTGACCGCACGTAGATTTCATAGTGAAAGCAACTTTTTTTTTTTTGCAAAACTTTTTTTTTATTCGCACGCGCGCATCAGTTTTGAGGTTCCCAGAGGATGTCATCCATATAATCAAATCAACATGGCCTTACTATGGACGAAACGTGATGATTGAACATTGTGCTAATGGTATCCCTACTATGTAAATACCGTAACTATAGCATGTAGTACACAGATACAAGTAACAAAGACCAAATGCACCAAGAGATACTAGTAGCATGATTTTAAATCCTCGATGATCTTTACCTGCTCCCTACGCCTCTCAATCCCCGACCTGATAGAGAAGCCAACTACCACTTCCTGATTTGCTTTTGTTTTCCTTGTTTTCTTATGCTATGATATTTTCTTTGCGTTAATATTGGTTTCTTATGTTGTTCTTACTCATAATAACTTATGATTTGACTAATGGAAATTTTTTTTTGTTCAATATGATATGTTCTTGATTGTCTTACTTTATTGTTTAGATATTTAATTCGCCGTGTTAACTTTATATTATCTTGTACCTACTTTGAGTTAATTTGTTTGCTTATCCCTTAATACATTGCAAGTTAAATGTAAATGTAATAAATGTATGTAAATAAGAGATCGTAAAATTAATAGGATTTGGGAGAGTCCACTAGACAAACCTTCAGGTTTCTTGGGCTCTCCAGCATATATTTGCTTGTATATAATTTCATTTTATACTGTTACTTTTTTATGTGCAAATTGACAATAAAACAATAAAAAAACACCAACCGACCAAGGTTGACTGAAATCTGGGAGTTTCTGACCAGATTTAGGCCACACCTACCTTACAAACCGAATCAACTTTGTGTTAAACTTGAGTCAAATGTGACTGCCAACCGCGATCGAATCACTGTTGACCTCCCCCAACCACGAGGTCGAGGCAAAGTCTAATACTCGTACACCAATGTAATATTCATATACAATAGCCCTAGGCCCTACAAGGGTTCATAGTCCAAGTCTATGCAGAATCATTGGAATCCCTTCCGGTCAGCCGCCGACCCTGGGGGAGCGGAGACGTGAGGCATCCGTACGTGAACTCAGGAGGGTGATGGCGGATGGCACTCACCCTTGCCAGCAGTTCCTTGAGCCGGGTAGACGGACAACCTACCAATTACGCCGTCAGACTTCCAGCTACAAGATCCCACTTAGCCGTACAGAGAGACATAGACAATCATTTATCCCCAGATCACTCAACATCTTGCAGCAGTGAGGGACACTATAGACTTTTAAAAAATCTGAAGGACACTATAGACTTTTATAAAAAAAATTTATTGCCTCCTTGTACTTGTATCCTAAAGTTGTTCCACTCAATTATTGTCTATATTTTAATGTGTTATCGATATTTTATACAATACGTCATTAACGGATATACTTCTTTTAACACTTAATCTTTTAACGCTAAAATGTTACAATTGTTATTGTTACTATGAATGTACATGTAATTCACAACACAATTCAGGCTGTTTCAGCCTGCAATGTTGTTTTGATGAATAAAGTTCAAAGTTCAAAGTCCCAAAGCCACGTGGCAAAGGCGTTTCCACACAGTGTCACCTAGTCACACCTTCACGGCACCTGAGCTTCTTAGCGGCCTTTTTCACATTCTTTATTCCCCAACGAGCCCAGCATATATACAGGAAGATGCCTTTCGACGTGGCGAAAATGGCTGGAAAATGGAAGTATGACAGCTACTCCGACAACTATCCTCAGGTCATGGAGAAACTGGGTACGTGTCAGTTGCTTTGTCTCATAGACGTTCGTGAAATACTAGCTATGGTTATGCAATCAAGACTCGAACCCGGGACCTTGGAACAAAGAGGTCTTGGGTTTGAGTCCTGACATGCTACCGATCTTGTGCCCTTGGGAGATAGGCACTTTACACGACTTTCCTCACTTAACTCAAGTGAAAATGAGTATTGTCCTGTCCTATATTTGTACTCTGTGTTGGTGGCGGCATAAAATATGTAAATATAACTTGAGTGTGCCGTCGCCATGTTTGGTCATGAAATGTTGGAATAAAAAAAGATATTATTGTATTTTGCGAAAACAGAAATTGTTATAAAACAGCTATATCAGCTACATGTAGCATAAAGCAATTGGTAACTTAGTTTAGAATAGCAATTTGCTATTCGTTGCAATTGGACAAAGGATTGTATGTTACAAGTGAGTGGGCGAAGTACATTGACCGCTGAGACCTTCAAAGTGCACTTATAGAAACTAGGGCAAAGTGCAAACACAAACACATTCACTCACATGTACTAGGAGTATATGGTGACAGAAGTAGAGCAGACCATGAAATTGCAACATTATGTAACGCAACACCAGTCACCATGGTGACAGACATCAACAAATCATGTCATTGGTCAGGTCAGAGGTCATTGTTTGGAGAAGAAGAAGAGGAAGAAACAGAGCAAAAACAATATGTTTTCCTTCGGTAAACATAACAATAAAAAAAAAAAAAACTGTTGTCCAAAGAAGTAATTTTTCTGAAATTCTTGCAGGAGTCCCAAAAGAGGGGTTTGAAAAGTTGCGGGTGGCAGAGTTTCCGTTAGACATCTCTCTGTCAGGGGACGTGATGACGTCAAAAGTGGTGTATGACGGGAAGACTATCGAGAACACTCTGACATTAGGAGTGGAAGGCGAGGAGAATGATCTATCCGGCAAGAAGAGGAGGGTGAGAAATGGACAGAGAAAGATTTCAGATTATCTTGGAAGTTTGTCTGAGTTAATAGAAATCATTATGAAACAAGTTTGAACTGCAATTTCCAACACGAGAAATTGGACTCAAATTTTAGACTGTGCAACTTGTTTCATGTATATCATACTGAGTATCATTGTACAAAGGATAGAAGTAGAAAAGAATAACGTAAAAGTCTTAGGAACTACTAGAAAATACATTCTATATAATATAGGTCTTGAAGATTTCTTCTCCCTTTTTAAAGCAACTGGATATGAATTCACATATTAAATGATGTCAAAGAAACATTGCAACTTCTTTTGTTGAGTTTCTTCTTTTCTATAAAATATATCTAATGTCAATATCAAAGACATGTTGATGGCCTTTGAACTTGAGCGAATTTACAATTCTCTTCTTATTCTTCAGGTGACCTGGACTTTAGAGGGGGACAGTCTAGTGTCCGTGCACCCTGACCATGACGGGAAGGGACTGTCAGTTCGCACTGACCGTCAATATGTGGACGACGACACCATACGTACGGTAGGTATACTAATGAGTTCGTGTGGCACAACGTTAACTAGAAAGGTAACATTTGCTAAGCAAATGCATAATGTTTACCTTCGCATATGGTCTGCTCTGTTAATTCTTACTCAAACACATTCATATATATGGTCATACAGGAGTCTAAATCCCTCCTGATATAAAATTGCAACATCATGTACGCACCATCAGATACCATGGTGACAGACATCGGGTTGACCTTATTGGTTAGGAGAAGAAGAGAAAAACAGAGCGAAAAAATATGTTATTCTTTGGTAAACATAACGAAATAAACATTTTTGTGCAAAAGAAAGCATCCAAAATACTAGTAGTCACCAAACCATATGCTATTGGTTATATTTTTTAAATTATGTAATAGTCTAATATTACTAATGTTACTGTATAATGGAAAGTTATTGCCCAGCTTCAAAATAGTACGCATTACAGTTCTAACATCCCATACTGTTGTCAATACGTTGCACTTAATCAATTTTTGCTGTCTAAATGCTAAGGCTACACCAATTTAATTTGTTGCTTTTCGTATCGCCCTGTCCATTTTTTTTACTGATTTGCAAAAAAAAAAAAATTTCGTTCTAAACTAACTGCAAAATGCTCAATGAAAGACATATTTTGACCTCAACAGTTAAAAAAATCATTTTCTTCCTAGTTCTTAAGTTTTTCAATGTAACAATGCAATTTTGTTTCATTAAATGTTCAAAATCTATCATTTTAACTATAAACCAGCCTGGTATGTTCACTTCATGGCTTATTTATATATCAACATTTCTGTCTATCATGGGGTGCCTTGGCCTGTTTTTTGTCTTCGTCAGAAGGACTATGAAATTGTCTCGCCGCATTGTGGGTGACTGCGGTTTTAGCGGAATAACTCTTGAAGGCATTATTCGACGTCCATGATTTTTGGCAGGCAGATTACCGTTGTGGAGGCCAATGCCAAGTGCAAGTTTGGGCTTCGTGGGGGGTCCGTACGTCACTGCAGTGGACTTTTTTGTGTTTGTGGCTTGTTAGCAAAATAACTCGAGTATATTTTAAGAGATGTTCATGATTTTTGGTAGGCAACCTACCATTGTACAGGCCAAGGTCAAGTTCGAAAACGGGCCTCGTGGGGGGTCCCTATGTCGCTGCAGTGGACCTTTTGTGTTAGATATATAATGTACTACCCCCACCAACGTCTGCATTGATTCACATGGGGACAGCTGTCCCCGCATGCATCTGGTATCAATTGATTACAATTAAGGGGCTGTCCTATAAATACCGGGGCGGGGGAGGAAAAAGGTGGACATGCGTCAGGCAGGTCATTCCCTAAATTGTAAGGCCAGACCAAGTAATTTTTATGGATGACGTCCACTGCAAAAGCGCGATAAAATACATGAAGGCCAAAAAACCTGATTACTAGTAACATGCACAGATTTGGATCATACTAACTGTGGAAATACAAAGGTTAGGATGCAAATTGAATAAAAGAACATAGTGTAACAACAAACGAAAACAGCAATAAATCTCCCCCTGTTCTGATTCTTTCCTTTCATCACATCTTCTCTCATTACATTTTGCGACACTGTCGTAGAATAAAAAAAAGGAAAAAAGGAGTACAGAGATTCTAGCTTTTGTACTCTAGACCAAATTGATTTCTAGTATTAAAAAACGTTCCTTTATCTAGAACAATGTCCCTCTGACGAAGGCATGATATCTCCGACCTCTAGTTAAAATTTTATTTCACCCTGTCGCTCTTGATTTTTTCTGAAAAAATCCGAGAAACAACAAATTGAATTGGTGTGGCCTACACTACACCCGCCATATGTCTGATTATACAGACCATCAAAGCTGGAGACCTGGAGGGGTGGGCACTGATCAAGCGATGTTAGACATTGGACAGGACGTCGGCCTTTGTTACTCAGACTTCCAACCACAAGAGGCACAGCTAGATATATCTTTCTCACTGATCCTGATGTCTGTCTACGTCTTTGAGCTCGAGGGTGTGCGATATAAGAGAATCCAATAGTTACGACAGACCCAATTCATAGCCTCCACAGCATGCCAAAAAACTGGGGGTTTTGGGGGTCTTCATGGTCTTTGGGGGCTTTTATGTGCTATTTTCTGATTGCATGTAGACAACATAGCCGGCCTGGTTGAATTACCCCCGTTTTTAGAACTGGGCTGATCAGAAAACAGCTGAAGACCACTGAATCCCCAGTTCTATAGGCCTGCTACGGAGGCTACCCAATTCAGTTCTTTGAAATAAAGTATGATTAAGATGATGATGAATGTTTTATTACCTTCGCCAAGAAGGTTATGTTTTCCTGGCCGTGTGTCTGTGTGTGTGTGTCTGTGTGTGTGTCTGTCAACAGCATAACTCGAGAAAGCTTAGATGGATTATCTTGATATTTGGTAGGTGGGTAGGTCTTGATGAGACCTAGAAATGATTAGATTTTGGACCCCCTAGCGGCTTGTTATGGTACTGCAGCTAAACTTCCGGTTTTGATATCTCATGATCTAGACATGCTGGGGTGACGAAATTTGGATGGTAGGTAGCTCTCATGCTGGGGAAGAAGTGACACGAGTTTGGGCCTCCTAGCGGCTTGCTCAGGAACTGCAGGGCTATTTGTTTGAAAATATTCAAAAGAGAATAACTCAAGAACCGGTGGACGGATCTTCGTGAATTTTAGTATGTAGGTAGCTCAAGTGACGCTTGACATAATTATGTGACAATTATGCAAATCTGGATCTAATTTACATAATTAATGGGGAAATTCTATAAATCAGGTGCATTACATTATAGGACTATTCAAGCTTGTGAGATATGTAATTGAGAACGAGAGAAACACAGGCAGATACTGATTATGTAAATTAACACCTAATTTGCATAATTAATGAGAAAATGTTATAATTCCATAATGCTAACTGCCTGGAATTTCATACTTGGGGTATTTCAAAGTTAAGTGAAGGTGAACATCATTAAATATAACTTATTCAAATAAGGACCTCATTTGCATAATTTATGAGGAAATGATAGAATGGCTTTCTTTGCTAAGATAAGGCTGTCTTTTGATGGAGAATATGATCAACTATATAATACAATATTATAATACAATATTATAATATAAAAATAATACAAATGAGGATTTTATTTGCATTATCAGAAGGAATCATCTTTGTCAGTCAAAAAGATTAACATCATTTGGCGAAGGTATGAGATCGTGGGACTCTAGTTAAAATATAAATCACTCGCAGCCCGATGGCTGAATTACTGATTCAGTACAATACTATCATACTCAAAACTTGTTCTAAAATAAAACATAAACATATTGGTATCGTCATATTACAATAAAAGGTAGTAAAATTATGAATTTGTAAGGTCTAAAGTTATATAATTAACTACGATGATACGAAAATGTACGATAATTTAAAATAGCTTGGTATATACATGTACCATCGCGAAACAACTTCTAGATCTATAGAACATCACCAAGGAGGGAGAGCGGTTACCAACTTGAATGCTAGTAGATCAGGCATTTAAAAGCCCCCACTATATAGGGTCAATGTCATGATGTGAAGAAGAATGTCAAATTTCGAAATTAGGTTTCAGAAATTCATAGACAAGGGACAAAGTCTTATTTTGTGTTTTTGCGTCGATTTTTTAAGATGTTCAGAGTGAGAAAGAATATAGCTTGTTTCTAGAGCTGATGAAGTTAGAAGAACGATAGAGGCGCTTTTTGCCGCACACCCCATACAGAGAATGTATCAAGATACCCTGGAAGCCAGAACTCGTTTTCCGGGCCGCAAGAGCCCTTCGCCCGCTGGTGTAAATTACCGCTACGGGGGAGTGTAGGCCCGGGGGGGGGGGGGAGGGGGTTGGCTGGCCGGACAAACGAGTGAAGGGCCAGCCAAACTCCCCTCGGCTCTACTCCCCCGTAGCGGTAATTTAGGCATGCGGGCGAAGGGCTCTCGGCTGCCGGAGGAAAACGGCCCGATACTAGTTTGGCATCCAGGGTAGTAGCAAGAGAACATCAGAATCTTTCCTCGCAACATCTGCTTTGAAGATTACCTAATTCCTGTAGTTCCCCAACGCGGCCGACAGGTGGCCCCACGGTACACAGGTGACATGTGACATGTCAAGCAATCAGCCAATCAGACTCCTCGACTCACATCTCTGATAAAAAAAATACACCAAATGCGGTGATACTTCATCACATATTATCAATATAAGTGACCTACGCCGCCCTAGGAATGTTGGCTGAAATTTGAATAGACGTAGAGTGATTGACGGTTGCCAATGGTTACCTACGACCTAGCGGTCCTAGCCACGCCCACTCCACCTATGACCTGGTTTTGTTTGCTTCTTAACTTAAGACAGTGTTGCCGGTGTATTTACAAGACGCGTGTATACCTGATCAGCGTTCTCCTTACAAGAAGCCTTTAACGATCTTACAAGATGCCTTATGACTTAGCCAAGGAGACAGGGAACTGGAAGGGGTGCGGAAATTCCGACAACTATGGCGAGATTCTGCAGAAACTTGGTAGGTGTACTGGTAGGACCTCTGGTGGTAGGACGTCTTTAGGTAAAGCGTAAAGTGATCCGTTCCTTTTGTGTGTTTTTTTTAATGTTTGCACATTGCAATACGAGCTGTCAGTAGCATAACAGCGTTCTTTGGTAGCAAGTGCCCCGTAGTAGACTGTGGGGGTCATTGCAGGGCCAAACCAAATACTTTTAGCTTCTTCACTATATTTTTAATTATATTTTAGCGTATTTATTTGATTATATCAAATTTGGTTACGTTTAGATGCGTTTTAAAATGTATTAGTTGCCGCACAGACCAAGGCCTACTCACAATCTAACCGTTTATACTGACATAACAAGCAATTTAGTGTTAGAACGGAATAGCTACGTATACGTATAAATATAAGCATATATATAAGCATATTTCTCTCTTTCTCTTTAGTCTCCAATTGCTGTACATTTGACAATACTGTCAACACCCAAAGACGTACATAGTATTATAAAGTGTACATTATAAATTTCTCAAAAATATGTATATTTCTAATCTTGAAAGTTCATCTATGTTGGTAGAAGTCACTATGAAGCAGTTTAAACTGTAATTTCCAACACAAGAGATTTGGACCAAATTTTCGACTGTGCAACTCCGGTCCTTGAACGTCACGGAAGCTCATTCCTTGACAGGGGTTGGGGTTGTACAGTCGAAACTTACGTTAGTCCAAATCTCTTGTGTTTGAAATTACAGTTTGAACTGCTTCATAATGTACATTTCTACATTGTGTCTCTACGTGTGTCTCTACACGTGTCTCTACATGTGTCTCTACGTGTATCTCCAGAGAGAATACTCGGTGGACATGTGTCTCTACATGTTCCTCTACATGTGTCTCTACATGTGTCTCTACGTGTGTCTATGTGTATCTCTACATGTGTCTCTACATGTATCTCTACGTGTATATCTCTACATGTGTCTCTACGTGTCTCTACATGTATCTCTACATGTGTCTCTACTTGTCTCTACATGTGTCTCTACATGTGTCTCTACTTGTGTCTCTACATGTGTCTCTACATGTGTCTCTACATGTGTCTCTACATGTGTCTCTACATGTGTCTCTACGTGTGTCTCTACGTGTCTCTATGTGTATCTCTACATGTGTCTACATGTATCTCTACACGTGTCTCTACATGTGTCTCTACGTGTCTCTACATGTATCTCTACATGTGTCTCTACATGTGTCTCTACACGTGTCTCTACATGTGTCTCTATGTGTCTCTACGTGTATATCTCTACATGTGTCTCTACATGTGTCTCTACATGTGTCTCTACATGTGTCTCTACATGTTTGTTTGTTTTTATTAGATCTCCATTAGTGTTCAACTGACCACTATTCTTCCTGGAGTCCACATAAAATTCAAAATTATAACAACAGAAATGTACAGAATTCAACACAATATTAACATAAATTGAATAATTTAAAGTAATTAACATAATTAAGTAACATAAGCCGAGTTCGAATCAGCTCTACACGTGTCTCTACATGTGTCTCTACATGTGTCTCTACGTGTCTCTACGTGTATCTCTACATGTGTCTCTATATGTGTCTCTACATGTGTATCTACACCCTCTTTTACTGTAGGCGTGCCACCGGACATGGTACCGAAGATACTGGAGATAGAATACTCGGTGGAAATGACGGTTTCAGGGGACCAGTTCACCTACAAGATCACAGAGTTCGGCCAGACGTCAGTCAACACCTTCACTCTGGGCGTGGAGAGCGAAGAGCAGGACGCCTGGGGCACGAAAAGGATGGTGGGTAGAAAACACACCATTATTTCACCTGTTTTACCATTCCCATGACGCATTGCGCCTTGGGGATAAAATTTCCCAGGTTGCATATCGCCATGTGATCTGAATTATGTGTTTTTAGTTCATTACAGAAACTAAAACTTTCCTGCGCTTTGCAACCTGGGAGATTTTACCCCCCTCCCCCAGGCGCAATGCGTCATGGGAATGGGAAACTGTCATTCCCATGATTCCGTCGTATGCTGGGAGACGCAGGGCACTTCAGGGTATTTCAGGAGGCCAATGGCATTATGAAAACGAAGAGTTTATTTTTTTGCTTACATCCTTCAATAAACCCTTGATGAAAAGCCAAACCGCACATTTCAGTGAAGTCACAAAATGGTAACAAACCAAAGAGCACCTTTTTCTAGATTTAGCTTGAATAATTTGATTTACTTACAGTAGATGTACACACATTTCCGTGTATCTGTTTGAAAGAATTCCATCCAAAAGTGTGGAGACCCGAATTAAATAAAGGAAGGGCATTGCCATAAAATCGTCTGTAAGAATAAAGATAAATTTTATTTAGCACACGTCCATGCTTATTAAAGATATAGATATAGATTGATATTGCTTTTAATGTGTTTTGATATTAATGCTCTCTGCAGGTGACATACAGTATGGAAGGTGATTCGCTGGTGAACACCTATCCCAGCGTGGATGGGAAAGGACTGCACTTCCGCAGCTGTCGCCGTTTTCTGGACGACAACACCATACATACGGTAAGAGAGATAGATAGAGAGAGAGAGAGAGAGAGGAAAGAGAGAGAGAGAGAAAGGAAAGGAGAGAGAGAGAGAGA